AAAGATACACTACGTCTACCTGATCAAAAAAGAGATCAACTAGTTTGGCAGGATTTGTTCTTGACAAATCCGTGTTGGCTTCTAGTTATTACTGCATTGTTTTCTAGGTGCTTGCACAATGACCGCTTTATGATCTGTTCCAGAATTTTGCCTGCGATTGATGTCAGGCTGACTGGCCTGTAGTTCCCAGGTTCCTATTTTTTGCCCCTTTTGAAGATAGGGACAACATTAGCTCTCCTCCAATCCTCTGGCACCTCTCCTGTTTCCCATGATATCCAAGAAAATAATGGATACCGGTTCTGATAGTTCTTCAGCCAGTTCCTTTAGTGCTCTCAGATGCAGTTCATCTGGCCTTGGAAACTTGAACTTGTTCAAGGTGGTAAGATATTCCTTGACTATTTGTTTATCAGTCTCCAGCTGCAATCCTGCCCCCCTCCACTTTCACTTCCAATGTGTTTGGAAGTTCATAGTCTGTCTTATTGTAAAAGACTGAACTAAAATAGGAATTGAGCACCTCTGCCTTTTCTTTGTCCGGTGTTATCATTTTTCCATCTCCATTGCAGAGCTGTGCCACTATGTCTTTTGTTTGTCTTTTGCTACTCACATACCTATAAATGCCTTTTTATAGTTTTTAGTGTCCCTAGCTAACCTCAGCTTTTGGCCTCCTAATGCCATCCCTGCATTTCCTTGCTACTTGTCTGTACTCCTCCTTGGTGGCCTGGCTTTCTTTCCTGTACATGTCTTTTTTGTTTTTTAAGTCCTCCCTGAGATTTTTGTTAAGCCACACTTGCCTTTTTTGCTGCCTCCCCCCTTTTTTTCTTGTTGAAATTGTTTATAGTTATGTTTTTAGAATTTCTTTTTTTTAAAGGCTCCCACTAGAAGGTGCTATCTTATTTAGTTCTAATGTTGCTAGCAGTTGGAACTAACTGAGACAACATATATTACAATCTGCTGGTCCCTGGGAAGTGTCCTGTCCTGTCCAGTAGAAAGCAGGGGTAGTAGCAAGACAGTTTGTTCTAATTTTATTGTGATGGAGAGAGTTAAAGAGACAGCCAGATACTCACATGAATAGTTTAACATCTCTGAATAGTGTGATGAATTGCAGGAGTAATCAGCTAAGTAATAGCCACTGAGTTTAGTTCTTTTGCAAAGTGCTTCATGAAAATCTTGTAATCACCAGTGTGCTTTCTAATCCACATATAAAAAAGAACCAGCTTTGAGAAAACATCCTCCTCAGTTGTACAGAGAAATTTTTAAATTTACTCCTGGTGATTAGACAAGAGGCCTGCTTCAAGTTTATATATACCCATCAAGATCAGTGTTTGACTTTAGACAACCCTTGATGCAAGATGCTGGGAGAAGTCTCTTAGAATCAAGGCTTATTTAACATTTATGAGTACCACTGGCCAGTTGTACAAGAGCTTGGCAGTGCCATTTCTTGTGAATGCCAGGGCTCTGCCCCTGGAAACAGGTAAAAGTGTCCACGAGGGCATTTTGTTTACTACTGCCAGTCTTAAGCACCTTTAAGATTCAGGAAATGATTTTTGGATTCATGTTAGGTATTTCCAAACACACTTGAGTTCTGGTATTTCCATCTTTCTCTCAGTGAAACATTGGCCTCTGGTAAGAGCTGCAGCTCAGTTTCTTGTCCTTCCCCAGATTACAGGAATTTGTTGCTTTTTCAAGCAAATGTGGATTTAAATTAAATTGATTTAAATTAAATTGATTTTAATCACAATTTAAACTTTTAAAAATCTGATTTCTTGACAATTTAAGTTAAAAAAAATCAATTTTTTATTTAAATTGTAAATCACAGGTAGCGATAATGAGGGTCCAGCCCCATGGTGCCAGATGGTCCACTCACTGATCTGCTGCCACCGCGTGCTCCACAATTTTTCCAGTACTCTGGAGCTTGCGATCGGCGAGCCACACTTTGACCTGGCAGGGAGGCTTGTCGTCCCACCTCCTCTCAGGAGTGGTGAGCCGATTGTGAGCTCTGGAGTCATTGGAAGGATTGCGGATCCCACGGCAGCGGCGGATCAGTGAGTGGACCGTCTGGCCCCATGGGGCTGGACCCTCGTTATCACCACCTGTGATCTATTCCCTACATAGGCAAGAATTTGCAGCAGTTCTGACTTAGCATTTCATGTAAATCAAGATGACGTGACTTCAGTGTAGAGTGATTTGGTGTTCTTATCTAAAAGCTATCCATCAGGTGTAATCACCTGCTGTGCTTATTTATTTATTTATTTATTATTTATTTATTTAACTTATGTGCCGTTCACTCTACCCAAAGGTCTCTGGAAGGCTTACAACAATGTACTTGTAAACCTATTCTTGATCAGTGGTTCTTAACCTTTGTTACTCAGGTGTTTTTGGATTGCAACTCCCAGAAGCCTTCACCATCAGCTCTGCTGGCTGGGGTTTCGGGGAGTTGCAGTTCAAAAACACCTGAGTAACAAAGGTTAAGAACTACTAAAACTGAACCTTTGAAAAGTCTTGTTACTGTTCTATAACACCCTTTTAAATGTATACCTTTCGTGGGGTTAGCTTTCATATTTTAACAAAGTGTTCATAAAATCCAAATTAGCCATATGCATATTCACATATCTAAATAGATGGGGTGGTGACGGGGAAATTTTTTAATGGCATTCTAATGGTTCCAAGAGGCATATTTGCTTATTGTCAGACTTGTGGAAGGGAATAATTTAGTAGTGCTAACAGTTGATGGCTGAAAGCCTGTCGTGCAACCATATGATACAGAAAGTTGATGACAGCATCAACCATGGCCATATTTCAGGAATTAAACATTTCTGACCTCTCCTTCAGGGATTCAAGGCTTCATTTGTGGTCATTTTGTCCTGGGGAAGCCTTTGGGGGCCATGTGACTGGGGTAGGGTCTTTAATGTCTGAAATGTGGTGGTGATGGGATTAGTACAAGCAGCAGCAATGTTCACATATTAAGGACTTCCCCAAGAACCTTGGGGAGGGAGGGAACTGAAAACTTAATTCACAAAATATGGCTGTTGCTGATGATGTTATCAACCTTATGCAATGTAAAATTGTGCAACAGAATTTAAGCCAACGTAGTACTTTAAAAATAAAAGAGCACACTGCTTATTCCATTTTATGTGATCCTGTGCAGTTGTTGATGTACTATTTGCCCTAATAATGGGAGTATAAGAATTCTTAGACCCTGCAGATTTCATAAACTGAATCAATTTTGTACTTTCCACAACACAGGTACTCTGAGGAATGCATTGGCAGCAGTAAAACTACTTGTGAAAATAATGCAGTAATAAACTCAAATAAGCTTATAAATGACTTTACAGCTTTGATTGCTTCAGTAAATTGTTCATCTCCCTGTTTTTCGGCATATTTAACTTGCTAGCATGTCAACTAATAAATAATTTGACAGACTAGTTGTATATTTGTAAACACTTATAATGGGTCAAGCCTGTTTCAGCTTGGTAGAACTTTTTTTCAGGGTAGAAATGTGCAAGCTTGGGAAAATCAGGACCCCCGAGAGAGAGTCCTTCTCTATTTTTCTGTGTTCTTCTGGGATGTCGATATTTTATATCTGAGTAAACATGCATATGTTGCAAAAGTTATGGAGCTGGTTACAACTTACCAGTTCTTAACATTGTTGTGGATAGCTCCACAGTCTGCAGCTACTGTGAAGAGTGCAAATTCCATAAGGAATCATTATGGCCATTTCTAGAAAAGTATTATGATGCCTTTATGCAAATCTCTGCATGCCCAGTGATCACACTTGAAATAACATGTATGGTTCTGATTGGTATAGCTCTGTGGACACTGGAGGGAAGGAGAAGGTATTTTGAAAAGGGCTGGAAAGAGGCAGAAAAGGCTAATCAAAATGATCAGTACGGTGGAAGCAAACTTTTGAGAGGAAATTTCAGAATATTTGGAACCTTCTAGGCTAGACAAAAATGTGCCAAATCATATAGGTATATAGAACCATTCAGAGAGTGAAAAAAGTAGAGGAAATCGGTTGTAACACATGAGCGGGATAGTGCTGTTGCTCTCATGTACTCCCATTGGCTCCCCATAAGTTTTTGATTGGCCTCTACATTTGTTAGCTTTGGAGATTGCATTATGGGTACTCCGGTAATGCTGCTTTTGAATCATGGATATGGCTTTCTGCTGATGTCCGTCAGATTTCTAAGGTTCTGTGTAAGTTATAGAGTTCCTAAGTTATCTCAATAGCTGTAGCTAAGCTTCCATGAATCAAAACTTATCAAATACTACTGTCTCCTTAGTTCCCCAGTGGTAGAAAGTTTGAAAACTCAGTTTAATAGCATAATGGGCATGGATAGCCTTTAACCTGAACACTGGAATAAAAATTGTTATTAAGAATCTTTGGTGCATATTTTAAAAGTTACTTTTTTATTTGTGGGCTGCTCTTTTATGATACAGAGAACCATGTTTTGGAGTAATGCATTAGTTCTTAAAAAACATAGTCACACCACTGTTGGCATTTAAGGCCTTGCAGAATCTGGGATAAAAATGTGATCAGTGAGAGTTACTGTGCATAGGTATGGAATGCCAGGTCTTCAAATCATAACCTTCAAGACTAGAGGAACTTCAGAGTAAGTGTGCACAGATAATAGGATTTAACTCTGAGGAAACATGATTAGGTCTGGACAGTTGTGAAAGTGGACAATGAATGCATGCAATCATGTAGTATCTTAACTCACTAAGGAGTAAGGATACAGTTATAAAATGGTCTGATTTTTATCTTCTCATTTTTATCTTTATTATTTAATGACTTTATATACCGAGTGCAAATGTTAGAGGAAAGACATTTTTCTTTTGCTTCATTCAAATTTTCACTAGTAACTTCATGTACAGGCTAAGCATGACTTGTAGAGATGCAGTTTCTTTGCTAAAATGGTATATACTTGTATTTTTGAAAGATGGATGGGGTTCTGTAGTGTAATGACACTAACCATGCTCTTTTTTATAAAAAATCTCTATAGGCTTCTGTAAAGACCCGGAGATACTTCAATCATCCAGAAGGAAAGGCCCACTGAATTGTAGAGATGTCTTCCATTTGGTATAATAGCATACTTCCACCTTCCCATGTTGGTTGATGAAGAACTCCTCCCTATCCCCCACAATGTTTGAATTATCTGTTTTATTTTTACTGGTATGCTATGGATGGATGATTTTTGAGTTGGCGCTACAGAACATGAAGAGACATCTGTTCTTTTTTTGTTGAATGCTTTTGGAAGAGTCACTAATTGGATTTGAGAATAAATCTATGGGTGACCCTTGTTCTTGGGAAGTTATTGGTCAGCCATGGTAAAACTTGCCAACCCACTTTATACAGAATGGATTCTCGAAGCTATACAAAAAGTTAAAAGGCAAAAGCAGAGACCATCAGAAGAAAGAATTTGTCATGCCGTCTGTGTGTCCCATGGATTAGATAAAAAGACTGTTTCTGAACAGCTGGAGCTAAGTGTTCAAGATGGCTCTATTCTCAAAGTTACCAACAAAGGCCTTGCTTCCTACAAGGACCCAGATAATCCTGGGCGTTTTTCTTCTGTTAAACCCAGTGATCTTCCCAAATCTGTTAAAGGATCCAGGGGAACTTGTAATGAGCTTCGGAATGTGGATTGGAATAAACTTTTGCGAAGAGGAATTGAAGGGCTCCAGGAACCAAATGGCTCTTCCCTCAGAAACATAGAAAAATACTTGAGAAGTCAACATGATCTTGCAGGTATTTTCAACAACCCTGTGTTTCAACGAAGATTACGATTGGGGGCCAAACGTGCAGTAAATAATGGGAGAATATTAAAAGAAGGACCTCAATATAGGGTGAACTATGGCAGCTTGGAAAGCAAAGGAAGATCTAAATACAGTTCATTTACAATCTCCCTCCCACCTGTCAGCCTTTTGCCTCATGAAAAAGACCAGGTAGGTGTAATTATATTGTTTCAGTGATTGCATGCTGATCTATATGTTTTAAAGATGTGTTCTTAGTATATGGGGAGTTAATTCTATTTTATACTATTAACCTTGGTTGCCTCATTCAGGGAGATTATACTTTATACAGTGGTGCCTCGCTTAATGAGCGCTTCATTTAACAATGAATTGGCTTAGCGATGGCTTTTTCGGAGCGATCTTGCGCTCTGTTTAACGATGTTCCCTATGGGTGATTTTCTCATAGCGATGTTTGGGACCATGCGTCGCATAGCGATGACAGTTTGGGTCCCCCTGTTTTGCTTAATGATGGTTTTAACAGCCTCATGTTGGCTGTTTTTTATATGTTTAAAAATGTTTAGAATGCTTGAAATCATAAGTGCACTTAATAAACCCTTTGTTAAACTAATTTGACTTTGTTCCGACTCTTTTTAAATTTGTTGTAATTTTCCCCCCATTGAGATGCATTGAATAGGTTTCAATGCATTTCAATTGGGGAACCACGTTTCGCTTAGCGATGTTTCCTGTGGCGATTTTTGCTTAAGGATGGCAATCCGTTCTCATTGGAACGAATTATCCGGTTTTCAGTGCATTTCTATGGGAAACCGCGTTTCGCTTAGTAATGTTTTCCCATAGCGATGATTTTTTTGGAACCAATTAAAATCGTTAAGCGAGGCACCACTGTATTTAGGATACTTTGATATGTGAGTAGTAGCCCATATATTGACAAAAACATGTATATATACCAAATGGTACTGAGGAATTTCAGTATTTTATCAGTGAAAGTGAATGAAAAGTTTTGATTTCTCCTGCAAAATGAAAATGAGTGAGCCTGTATGCAAACTCTATATGTTCTTGTCTGGTAGGAAAGTAATTGGAATCTAGCTGTATAAATCTTCTTGCTCCAGAGCATCCATTTTTGTTTCTGGGATATTACATTTGCTTCCAAATGAGGAATTTAATGATGTTGTGAATTCTTTAGTACCGATCAGAGTTGCTGATCTCCCTGTGAAATTGAAAACAGCAGCAGTGTCATAAAGAAATACAGCAAGGAACTCCTTTGGCAATTCCCCATAGTCATTCTATTTTTGAAAGTGTGGTTGTTTGCAAGTATTGCCATGTACTAGATGGCAGGATTTCTGTTCCATTTCTTGCCAGCATAATGCAATTTGTCATTTCTGTTCTCAAACTGAAGCATCAAGACTGTGGCACTATCAGGTTTATTGACTGAATCCTGTATATGGCAGGTGAATATAATGAAGTCTCCATTGTAACTTTTAGCGCCCTTCTGGATTACTGTGTTGAGTGCATAGCTGCTCATTTTTTAGGTCTCCTGCTTTTTTTCTTGTTTTCTTTTTAAAACTTTTCCTTCTCCTCTTCTTTTGCTAATCTTTCCTAGAGACCAGAGGAAAAATTACTTATTGGACCACAGTTCTGACCAGCATAGCCAGTAACTTTCTCACATTCTGCTGGGGCCTTTACAGGGTTTACTGATTAAGAAATTGTCTAGTAAAATTTTGGAGATACCTGTGTACTTCAGAGTTAAATCAGAAGCTGCTTGTGTACATTTATTTATTCAGTTTGTATGCCACTTCCATTAGTGCCAAGGCACTACTCTTTGCGGTTTACAATAGATAAAATTCTATATGTAGTCAGTTTTTCCTCAGTGTTCCCCAAAAACATCTGAAGAAATTGAAGAAATAATACAGCTTTACTTTTCACAGTACAGTGGGCCCTTGACTTACAGACGGCTTGACTTACAGACTTTTTGAGTTACAGACTTCTCTGGCTGCAAAATTTACGTTTGACTTGCAGACTGAGATTTGACTTACAGACCCTTGTATGCCACTTCCTTTAGTGCCAAGGCACTACTCTGTGCGGTTTACAATAGATAAAATTCTATATGTAGTCAGTTTTTCCTCAGTGTTCCCCAAAAACATCTGAAGAAATTGAAGAAATAATACAGCTTTACTTTTCACAGTATTACACCAGTAAACGGACTCTCAGTAAAGGGCCCTCCTTGCTGACTGCATTTGCTTTTGCAGGGAAAAGATGCATTATCTGTTATTCACTGGCTACTTTGCAAGAGATTGGTCAGCAGGCTGAAAGCTGAGAAGGGCCTGCCATATCCTTGTAACTGATGGGTGCAGAAAAATTTGTGGATTGATCAGTAGTACTTAATAGGTTTTGTCTTCATGTAGATGTTTAGCAGTAAACAGACTCTCAGTAAAGGGCCCTCCTTGCTGACTGCATTTGCTTTTGCAGGGAAAAGATGCATTATCTGTTATTCACTGGCTACTTTGCAAGAGATTGGTCAGCAGGCTGAAAGCTGAGAAGGGCCTGCCATATCCTTGTAACTGATGGGTGCAGAAAAATTTGTGGATTGATCAGTAGTACTTAATAGGTTTTGTCTTCATGTAGATGTTTAGAATTCCTCTTTGCTGTTAAAATTATAGGATCTCAAAAAATAGCATGATTCAGCAAATAATCTCTTGATTAAGCTTATTCTAAAATACAAATATGTGACCATAGACAAAGATGTATAGGTCCATTACATTTTGGGTTGATTTCACAGCTTAAATCATGTCCTTTCCTTTTTGCCATTGAAAAGGAACATGTGCAATTTATTCTCAGAATTGTTACAATTTTGTAATTGTAGGCGCATCGTGTTTTACAATTAATATAGCAAGACTTTAGTATGAAATAAAAGACCTTGATGGTTTTTGTATCTGCTTTTTTACCTGTTTTATGTTTTCTTTCATGAAAAAAATGCTGAGTTTATAAGATAGATTCATAAAATCTGTTTTTGCTGTTGGAAATTCAGTGTTCAGCAATGTCACATGGAACAGCCACCTTCAACCCAATGTCTATTCATTGCTCTGGACTGCCACCCCCACCATCTCTAGCCAGCATAGCTATTAGCCATGTTAGCTAGGGATGATGAAGCTAGTAGCCCAACAGGAGTTCAGCAGGAAGGCACAAGCTTGAAGAATGTTAATGTAGAATGTTATCTGAGCCTTTCTGTAACCTCTTGTAACATATCTAATTCATGAATTGCCCTGTGCTGCTGTTGTTCTTAGTAAGAGAAAGTGTCTGGACAGGATTTCTTCATAATACCTTAGTATTGGGGTATTCCATACAATGTCGTAAAGGATCCCTTGGGGAAGAAGAAGGTCTGCATCTTCAGACTAGTGCACCCCTCCTTTCGGTGTCAAAGGGAAAACCTTACTGAGGGTGATAGAAACTAGGTTTGGCGAAAGCACTAGTCAAAAGATCCTTTCAGAAGTGAAGGTGCATGCCCTGCCATCCTTGAAAAGACCAATGGAGGTGGGCAGGTTTTGTGCTGTAACGAGGGTCTGTGTCTTAGACCTAATTTGGATCATTGTATATTAGGACACGACATTTTAGAATATGAGCATGTATCTGCAGCTCCAAAACTCTTTAAATTTAGATTTCCTTATGTTGCATTATCAAAAGACTTTGAGCCACTGTAACTGAGGTATTTTTAATTCCCTTTTGGCATGTGGGTTAGGTCTGTGAAATTAATGACTCATTGGTGATTGGCCAGTTGATGCATGTTGGCTAAAAATTATCTTGTAGGTCTCAACTGATGCAAGTGTTTGTCTTTCAGGGTGGTATAAAAAGGATATTGGTTTCTATAACCAAACATGAGAATTTTCTTGCTCAATACATTGTACTACACAAGAGAAAGGAAAGCAGGTATTATAGAAGCTGTTATTGTTGGGGACAGATGCCAGCATTAGCATGAGTGGATTAGTTATTTTGTTTATGTGCTATACTGTCTTGATTGCTAGTGAATGTACAACAAGTACAGAATCATCAGATTATTTTCCCTTTCTTGTGGTGCTGTACAGAGACTCTTGATATAGAATGTGTCTAGTGTAAGAGATTTTTCTAGATTGGTGGCTTGTGCTCCAAATGTTTCCTTGCTAGGTCATGGCCAGAAGCAAAGTTCAGCATGATTAGATGAGTTAGACTTTGAATATATTGACCAGAAGCAGCTAGTACACCATTACTTCATACTTTGAGGCTTTTCTTCTTTCAGTCAACTGATGGTATGGTGGGAGGTGCCTGGAGAAAGAAGTCAGAAATCGCACTGAGCTTTTTTAGATTCCAGTTGATGCTTTATAAGACTAAGTTTGAGAGCTTCTTATGAAAACAAAATAAAATGCATACAGCTGAAGTTGTTTAGTTTGTGAATGTTCTTTTTTATAACTGAAAGATCCTAATATTAATAGTAAATCTTGTTATTTGGTAAAGTGGACTGTAGTACATGGAATTTATATCATAATAAAGTTGTTAGTCTCTGTAAAATACACAGAACAGTTCAGCAAAGTAACATGACTACAATACTGGAAATTCTTGTAGTACTGTAGGTCGTGGTCTTTGTTGAGTTGACATTGCAAAAGTAGTCAAAAGAAACTAGAGAGGAATACTGCTAAGTTTAATGGGTATATATCTCCTACTTATGGCTGGAATTCTTGCAACAAATGTTGGACTCAGTTGAATTGAATTTTGCAACCTGTAGTCATACACTTCCATTGTTGCACTTGAGTCCTGCATCAATTGGACTGATTTCTTTTTTCAGAAGCCATCATTAGGTAAGGTGGCCATATGTCATTGGTGCTTGCCATAGAGGGTAAAGTTCAAAACTTCACAAAGTAGGTAAATAATACTAGTTTTGGAAGTGGTGTGCTGTCTTGGCTAACAGTCACAGCACCAGCTCTGTTGTAGAACTATGGATTGCCTAGAATTTTTTTAAATCAAGCAAGGATAAGTTTAATATGTACAGTAAACTGTTTCCTTATACTCAAACTTTACGAGTTTAAGAAATTGAGTTGGTACAACACATGGTATTTTTTAAAAAAGAAAAAAATTATTACATAGGTTTAAAAACAACATATAGACCTCAATGTTAGGAAGCTGAAATGGAAAAACACTTATACTTTTAGAGGAAAAACTTGATAAATAAA